TTTGTCACTGAAGGGGATGGGAGCCGTCTTGGGGTCCGCCTTCTTGGGGTCCTTCAGCCGGCCCGGAGTCTGGGCTGCCCAGCCTTGGTGCCCATTCCAGATGTACAGATTTACATGCTCATTGCCAGGGGCTCTTGGCATTGGGTCCTCCTTTTCCTTGGTTTGTGAAGTCCCTCCGGACCTGGCCCCTGGTGGCCTCCCACTGTTACCCCTTGGGGTGGATGTGGGAAGAGGGAGGTGAGTTTGGTTTCTGCCCTGCAGTCTCTGAATTTAGCTCAGGGAGGCCCAGACTAGCTGTGATGAGGTTCTTCCTGCTACTAAGGAGACTCCTGAGGCTCTAGCTGTAACCAGACATCTGGCCTCTGGGACCTTAAACTTGGGCCTCTGGGACCTTCAACTGGGCTGACACAGGAGCTAATGTTCTTAGGGTCTCCCCAGCTCTGAGAGGAGCTAGGAAGGTTGTCCTTGCAGAGCTTTTCTAGGTTCTCAACTTAAGGCAGCCTGGGGGGAATAAGGTCGGGCCCAGCTTGCCTGCTGTCCTAGGCCTTCACAAACTGGGCGGGTTGCTCGCTCACTGGTTCCTATGTGTACGCTGGTCTCAGTTTCCCCTTTTGTGTGTTTCATGGGTATGTTTGTGGGGCCTGGTTCCTGGAGAGCTGCTCCAAGGCGTTGGTCAAGACTTCTTGGGAGGTGTCCAAATTGTTGACCCCAAATTAATGGATGATCTTATCTTGCTGGCTTCACCTGCTGCTTTCTTAGCTCTCAGATGCAGACATCTCCCCAGTCCTCAGTCCTCACCTCTTCTCACTCTTCCCTAAGTCGTCCCTAACCAAGGTCTGTCTTAGCACTTCCACTAGCGCGCCCCCTGGCCTGCCCGCCTGTGTTTCTTCTCTGTCCCACCTCCGCTGCACTGGGGGCACCAGGCTGCATTAGCCCTGAAAAATTCAGGGCTGAGCTGCAGGCCTCTTCTGATTGCAGCATTTGGTGGTGGTGGTGGGGAGACAGAGGGGAGCAGGTTGGGCTTTTATATCCACGCGGGGGGTCTCCGAGATCCCCCAGGTTGGCACTGGGAGAGAGCCAGGGGGGCAGCCGTGGCAGCAGCGTCACCCCATCAGCTTTCTGGGCACATCCGCCACGGAGCAGCACCTGAGAGGGGAACGGCTCAGCAGCGAGCTGAGTGAGATTGAAGAGGATCATAAAGAAAATATATATCCCCCTCCCTGGCCTCGCTCCCTCCTCCTGCTCTCCACTTGCCTCCTTCTCTCTCTTTGTCTCCATCCCTCCCCCTCCTCACTGCATCCCTGTTTTCTTTGTTCCTTCTTTGCCTCCTTCACCTTCATCCCTGTCCGCAGCTCTGTCTGCCTGCTGGTCTGTCTGTCTGCCTCCAAATATTTTTTGGTCTGAGTTTTTCTAGGACTAGGTCTGCCATCAGCTCCTCTCCCTGTTTCTCTCCCTCCTTCCGTCTCTGAGGCGCTCATACCAGCACATCTTTATGGGGTTCAGAGGGTATGCCGCCAGGCTCGCCACCCACGTTTCCTCGCATCTGTCTCTCTATCTCCTTTTGCTGCCCCCCCCCATCACTGCTCCCATCACTGCTCCCATCTCTCACCCTCCTTCCCAGCTCTTTTTTGTTTTTCTCATCTCTCTCTTTCGGCTCTCCCGGGTCTTTGGCTCACACCCGCTCACGCCCGCCTCTCATCTTCCCTCCTCCCATCCCTCAAGGTTCAGATACTTCATGTGAAATCACCTGGATGGGCTCCAACTGTCAGGTTCCCCCATTCTGTACCCCGTCCTCCGCGAGAGATTTATGGCCCCAACGCTGCATCCTCTGCATTCTCCCCCAGCCCTGGGCCCGTTCTTTTCATTACCTGGTGATTATCTGGGGGCCCTGGCATTTCCCCCAGCCTCCCACCCTCCACCCAGCAGGCAGCGAGCAGCACAGGGAGAAAGGGGAGAGGATTGCTCTTGGGACGAGATGCAAGGACATGGGGACCCTCCCCCTGCACCCGCCCTTCTTTCCCTCAAGCAGATGCACATCTGGGAAAATCCCAGCTCGAGGCAGGGGCAGGCAGCCTAGGACTGTTGGAACACACATAAATCAAACACCCAGATGCCCCTCCCCTCTGCTCTGTCATGACAGCCATGCTTCCCACTTCTGCCTGTCTCCTGTGCTGCTGACAACTTTGGCTCTGTAGTCTTGGCGAGGGCCAAGCATGGGGCCTGGGATAAAGGAGGTGCTCAGTGGTGCCCTCGGTCCCTGCTGAATGGAGATGGGGGTAGGGCAGGGTCAATGGGATTTTTGGGTTTTCCTCTGAGATCTGGAGAAATTCTGCTCCAATTTCAATGCGCTGTTTTGGCATAGTTGGCATAGGTGCCACCTCTTCAGGGTCCTGTCTCTATCCTTCTCCTCCCCTCCTTCCTACCTCCACCCCAGTTTTTCTGTACCTCATTTAGGGTTCAGAGGGGCAGCAGCACTATCAAGTAAAGGCTTTGGTGCTTCTTGTTCTCGTGGCCAGTGGCTTCTTGGACTGATCGCTTGTTCATTTAGCCCTCAGGCCCTAAGTCCAGTGCTGCTGCCGCCCCACCAGTCCAGTCTTGCCTCTGTTTGAAGATGAACATTCTGGGAAAGAGGGGGTACCTCCCTTTGGTCACTGATCCCAGGTCTTCGAAGCCCCACTTTTTGAATGTCTAGAGCAGAAAGCTCCCCAGGCAGGGACGCTACCTTTTGATTTTTATTTCTTTCAGCATAATGCTCAACACATCGGTTAGGATATGCTCTGAATGCTAAATGGCTCTCAAGAAATCCTGGAGCAGATAAAACAAGTTCTCTTTTGGTTTTATGTCTGGAGTAATGAGAAACATGGGTGAGGGAGTGGAGATGGGTGGTGGCGGTAGAGGAACCTAGTAGAAAATTCTGGAAAGCTGGGGGCAGGGTGCTTCTATCCCTGATTCAAGGACCCCCTGGTTGGAGAGGGTCCCCATATAACCACAGACAGGGTTCCAACCTCCTTCCCAGATTCTCCAGCCATTTCCAGCCTTCTCCTCACCCAGGAACCTCGAAAGCATGTTTGCTTCAAAACCCACATCCTGCCAGCCCGTGTCCATGGAAGCTCCATTTCAGTCCCCAATCCACCTCCTCACCCAGACCTGTCTGGGGCAGGCCTCCATCGCCTACCCCAGCTTCCTGCAGGACTATGGGCCCAGCCACCTCCTTCATACTTGCTCTCCCTTCCTCAAACCCCTTGTCTACCATCCTCTCTGGTGTGGCTGGGCCCAATCTCTGACTTCACCCTGGCCTTGTCTTGCATTTTTCTCTTCAGGCCTTTCTCTTCCAAGGTAGAAGAGCCCCAAGGGCACATGATTTGCTGTGATTGTAGACTTGACAGGAAAACACAGCCAGAAAGGTGTGGGCCCTGGGGTGCTGCTGGTGTTAGAGCTTCGAGGAGTCTAGAGAGGGTGTTCCATGGCACTAAGGTAGGGTTTGGGTTGGGGGTGCAGGCCAGAAGTCTTGTGAGCTAGGGGAGGGCCCGGAGGTGTGCTGGGATGGGAATGATTTGGAGATGTATGTCCGGTTCTCCTCCAAACCAGAGAAGTCCTTGGTAGAGTCAGTCCTAGGGGAAGATGAGTAGGAAGAGGCTATTCCTCGACCCTTCTCTTCCAGTGCCCTTCCCTCTGCTCCCTTCGAAGAGCTTGCTTTGTTCATCTCTGGCTTCCCCACAGGGCTCGTTTGTGGTGTGCTTGACACATTCTTTGAGTGAATGAAGACTCGCCCACCTGGGCCTGCTACTTCCTCCAGCTTTGCCAGTCTCTCTGGAGCTTCTGAAAGTACCTGAATCTTACCTGCTCTGGGAGGGCAGTGAGGGGTCTTTGCAGAATATCAACAGTAGTTTGCTCTTCAGTCCATGATGAGAGAGAATTTTGAGGGTTTTTTTCCTCTGGATGCTCAAGGAACGAGAGAGGTATTTCCACAGCTGCTGAAGGTATCTCTCTAACTTTATTATTTCATTTTATTATTTTTTTAAGATTTATTTATTTATGCATACAAGAACTGGGGTACAGGCCAAGAGTTGTGGAGGGTGAGAGGATTCACCAGAGACAGAGCGGGAAGCAGAACAGGCAGATCCACTGAAATACACTGCTGGGGGAGCAGTGGGTGAGACAGGAGAGGTCTGCTGTGCCATGGGGGTAGCGCCCTGGCCGGGCATCAAACTTGTGCTTCAGTGGCTGCGGATAGCTTCATAGGTTGCATCTTAACCCCTTGCACCACCAGGGAGGCCCTATTACTTAATTTTAAAAAGCTGTGGTGGGGACTAGAGGCCAGGCCACAGTGTAGGAGGAATGATTACTGAGTTCCACTCGGGTGTGGCTGCCTGGTGGCCTTTAAAACACTGTGTAAAGGCTGCCTGTGGTCCCAAGTCTGTTGTAAATGAGCCAGTGCTAAATAAACCTTGAAACTTGATGACTCTGTTCTCTTTTGGAATCTATTAATTTTATGGATATGATAGGCATATTTATTGATTGATAAAGTCTTGGAGAAGAAACCTGAAAATTGGACTGACTTCCTGGGTCTCCAAGAAGCAGTTTGCTGTGACCACACATTTGCAACTCTTTCATCTCTGAGGCCCTCGGGGGAATCTCAACTGTTTCCCCACCTCACACACATGTACACACTTTGGGCAATATCCCAACACCAGAAACCCAGACAGCACGTACCCATGCGTGACACCTGTTTTATTGATTGCATATGGCCAATGTTTATTTCTACTCTGGCTTTCTTTTGCCTTCCAGCCATTCTTGGGCAACTTCTTTCCACTGCCAATGGACGTGTGATGTGCAGCTGTAGGAGGCAGACTCAGTTAAATGTTAGTTTAAGTAAAATTAGGTGGAAAGACCAAGTTCTTTAAAAAAGATATTCAAATTAATAAAAAAGTATTTTGATGATATTCTTTTGATTTATCTTTGTCTCCTTTTTCTTTTATTATTATTATTATTTCTCTTAGTATTGCAGGCAGGGGATTGGAAAGAACCAGGACACGGAGATAAAGAATGTCCCCGTGAAGCTTGGGGCCAGAGGCTGTTTATTGTCGTCACGATGTGGTGCACGGGCTAGAGGTGAGGAAGGTAGGTCTTGGCGGAAAAACCATATTGATCTGTAAGACCTTGAGACTTTGAGACTTGATAACAAGCTTCCTATGGCTCAGATGATCTTCTGTCTTTCCTAAAACAGAACAAATTAAATTTCAAGGGAGATGGTGGGGGAGCAGGTGCCAAAGGCTGTGGGAGTAGCCCAGCAAAGGCTGGTGAGACAGGGCCGAGGGCGAGCCAGCCAGCGGCTGACATGGGTGCACGGGAGGGCACAGAACTCCGAAGGAGGATGGGCAGACAGAGGTGGCATTTCCTAAGCCACCGGGCATGCAACACACACACACTGTGGCTGTTGGGAGGAGGGGTGCCTGGGGGAAGGGGCTGTGGGCTCTGACCACTCACAGCTGCTCGTGTAAAAGCAGAGCCAGCATATGGTGATAGAGGGATGGATTTCTAGATTCCATGCTTACAAGGAAAGAAAGGATGGGCGCGGGTGTTGGGGACAGAATCTAAGCTGTTTAGCAAGTTTTCGTGGAAAAAGGAGTATGTGTCAGCACTCCTTACAGACAAAGACCGCCCTTTTATTATCGTGGTAGACTGGAGATGAAGGTGGACAGGCAGATGGATTTCCTTCCAGTGTTGCCTCCTGAGGACTTTTATTAGGAGTTCTGGGTTGATAAGATACTGGGTTGACAAGAGGGGATAGAATTATAGGGGGAAGAAGGAGAGAAGAAACTGATTTTTACTGTTGATATTAATGTATCACAATACTTTCTATTCCCTTCATTACACACTCTTTCTGGCCTTTCCTGGTTTTATTTCTTCCTGTTTGGAAATTCCAATCCTGATTCTTCCCTGTAGCCCATCTAGCTTATGAAGACTTTAGAAGTGGAAGCCTGGGCTTTTGTGATTTGTCAAGTTGATAAACTTGTGTTTTTTTTTTTTTTTTAAGATTTATTTATTTATTTATACAAGCACTGGGTACAGTCAGAAGCTTGGGAGGGTGAGAGAATTCACCAGAGCCAGAGCGGGGAGCAGAGCAGGCAGAAGGACCGAAGTACACTGCTGAGGGGAGCAGCTGGCGGCAGGAGAGGTCTGTGCGCCATTTGGGACCCTCACCAGTGGCCCGGGATCGAACCGGTGCTGCAGAGGCTGCGGGCAGCTTCGCAACCCAGCACTCAACCCCTGCACCAACAGGGGAGGCCCGATAAACTTGTTTTGATATGATAGAAATGTTGAAACATTTCAAAACTGATTCTGATTGAAGTTAAACCTGTGAATGTGTTAGCTCGAGAATAAAGAATGTTGGCTGTGACTCTCATTGTCTTCTAAGAAGTTATCCTGGAGGGAGAAAGAAAAACCCCCGTTCACAGCCATGCCAGAGTGATACCAGGTACTGTGGAGTGTCAGCAGCCTCTAGGGAAGTGCTGATAGTCTGATCATTTCCCCCAAATAATGGGGTAGTGCTGCGGGTGCAGTGTCTGCGTATGGTCCAGAAGCTATAAACAATGCAGGAAGGAATCAAAAATATTGCAGTTTACGCTAGATGGATTTTGGTCTCCATTTGGGTAGGTGGGTTTTGTCTGGAGTGTCAGTCCACACTAAGATGGGCTTTCACTGGCTTGGAATTCAGCCTCTGCTTGACTGGGATGGGAGCCCAGAAGGTTCATGGTGGAGGTGGTAAGATAGTACATGAGGACATGGTTGTATTTCTTTTTGGTCTAATGAACAGACTGTGTAGGGGCTGCCATGGCATTCAAGTTCAAGTCTCGGTTGCAGCTAGTAAAATTTACCTGTGTCAGTGAGAGAACTTGAAGCAGCTTCTACCTGAAGGAGTTTTATTTCAGAAGAGGAGACAAAGTATTCTCCCAAGTAACACTCAAAGAGAGTGTAGTACAAATTAGGGTCATAGGTGGGGGATCCCTGACAACTTATCCCATTAGTTTGGTGAGGTTGTTCTCAGAAGACCCCTGGGAGATAAGCTTGGATATTTATTTTGTCTAGTATGAAGGGAATTTGGTTGCATCAGCTTTCTTTCCAACCTCTCAGAGAAACTATCAGAGCCTCTCTTTCCTCAGGGGAGAAGCAATACAATCATTACTACTGAAATGGTTTTTCTCTGACTCTTCCTTTTCTGCACAGACCAAGAGTAAGAATTATTATTATTATTATTATTATATTTTAAAGCCTAGATCTACATTCATATCTGTAACAAATATTTAGCTGGATCTATCTAGTCAGATGAGCTGGATTTAGTAGTTCAGAGTGAGGTAGAATTTGTTTTGTGTTTTTTTGGGGGGGCATGGAAGGAAGCAAAATGAGCTTGGTTCATAGCCTAGCTTCACACTAGCATGATGAAGATGTAACTTGAACTGATTTTTTTCCTTGGGAGAAACTTGGACAAAATGCCAAAATGGGATAATTGCTCCCTCTTCCATGCAGCCTTCTCGGATTGACATGAGGTATACAGAAAGTACTCCCTAACTTGGTGACACTGGAAAAATTAAGTCTTTACCATTTTTTTTATCTTCCCTCAATTATGAAGTCATCTGGGGGCCTGGCTTGTCTTTGCCTCTGATGTAAATTCCTCTGATACTATTCACTCATGATTTAGAAATACCCTCCCAGTCCATGGCATATATATATTTTTATCTACTTTGGGTGATGGGAAGAATCTACCATATGCCCTTAATTGTAGCTTCCCAGAGAGTGGAATTCTCTGTTTGCCACTATTGTCTTATACTGTGTGCAAAGAACTTGTGTGATTTAGAAGTGTTGATGATTGGGCAGTGGAGGGAAGTCATTGCGTTTATTTGAATTCTTTTGCACAAAGAATCATTTTGGTGTCTGAATTTTCTCATTTGGAATTTTCCTTTGTCTTCATTTACACTTAGTTGAAATTTGATTTTATTAGTTTGAATCACTTGGAAACTTTTTGTGGTTTCCACTTGAGAGAAACACCAAACCCTTGTAAGGATCATCCAGTTTTTCACTTGGACTCAACCCAAACTAAACAGAATCCATCTGTGTACTTAGTTTCAGGCAGTACAGGAAAAAGGGCAGCAAATATAAGAAACCCTCTTCTCTGTGAGCTTCAAATATGAAGGCATTTTGTGAGTATGTCTCCATCCTTCTAAACAATAACCACCAACGGGCTCAGAAGCAATCCGCCGTTCTGTGGTCTAGCCTTAAATTCAGTTATTGCAGTTTGCGTTTCATATCATGTTGCTTAATGTCAAAGCATTGAGTGACTTATTTTCCAAATTAAATAAAGCAATGGGCCTAATGAGACTGCGTGGTGTGTTTGTTCAGTTGTTGGACATCAAGGGGACGCTGACACTGGAGTAAATAATAAATGTCACAAATGATGTAACTTCGCCTCAGTCAACTTGGGTTACTTCCTTTGTACTTTCATTCTGTTGTGGTGAAAGAGACTTGGGCCTGCCTCCTTGCTTCCCATCTCTGAAATCACCACACTGGGCTGTGGCACCTCCTTGGCTGTGTCCAGTTAACTCTTTGTGCCTCTGGCTTCAGCTGGGGAAGGAGCTGAAAGCTTGGCCAGGCAGGAGCTGTGCTCCCAGGATCCTCCTTGTCACCTGCTGCTCCTGTCCTCTTCCCAGACAGGGCGTTCTCTCAGCGTGAGGCCAGGGGTCACAGCACTGGACATCCACGGGGAAGAGCAGGGGCAAGAAGAGCGCACTGGAGAGGTCAGATATCTAGGAATTGAGAGAGAAGCTTCCCGAAGGAAGGTCATGTTGACAGGGTTTGGAAAGAGGGTGCTTTAGGCAGAGAGGGATGGGGCGGTCTGTGTGAGTGTTGAGGTGAAGAACAGCTGGATTTTCAGGTGTGGGAAAGAATGGTCTGTTCAGGCAAAGGGTTGCAGTGAAGGCAAATGCCAGGAGTGAGCAGCAGAAAAACAGTGGAATGAAAGTCTTGGGAATGCAATGTTAGAAGTTTGCATTTAACAGAGAGCAGGAAATTGTAGCTCTGATTGGGAGAAGGGGTGTGTGTGTGTGTGTGTGTGTGTGTGTGTGTGTGTGTGTCTTTTAAGACTTGAGGGAAGTGTCATTTTCCAGAAGGAGGGTAGAGGGCACTCACACTTCAGTTATGTGCTGCAATGCAGCAGTCAGGGCGAATGTGATTTAGGGCTGTAGCTGCTTCAAGGAAGGGCAGTGCTCCGGGTGGTTGCTGGGTGAATCTGAGTGGGATCGAAGGGGATCTAATTGTTTCAAGTTATTAATTTATGGACCAGCGAGTATGGCTGGAGGCTGGCCCTGGATTTGCAAACTGTGGGAATCTACTAAATAGTGGTCTGGTGGGGACAAGGTGCTAAGTAAGTGACTTCTTGTGAGAGGAATTGAATTGAGGGCTAGGAGAGTGATTCCCAAATGCCTGAAGTAAATACTCTCAGCTGCAATTCTTTAGATTTAATCTAAAGTTGTGTGCATTTTCCCTGAATAAATTCAGGATCCTTCTAAGCTGCTTTATTAATCCCCTTGTCTTTTGACATATGGGGGGCTTCCTTCCTTTTGAAACTAAAAAGGAAAGACCATCTTTCATCTCCTGTTGATCTTCCTGCACTGATAGCCTGTTCAGGACACCCACTATTCCTTATCTCAAGTTCATGTTTCTTAATACCTTTTTTTTTTTTTTTTTAATGAGGAGATGCAAAAATAGAAAAACTCAGAGGTCTGGTTGCTCCTGGTTGCATTGGTCTTCGTTCTTGTTACCGTAGATGATTAAATAATATGAAGAATGCTCTAGGGGTTATGAGCTCAGAGCTGGACACAGACATGGGTCACAGTGAGGAACACAGATGTCCGCTGTTAGTCTACTGAGTCTGGTCTCTAGTTATCAGCAATCACCAAGCCAGAAATGTAGCTGAGGAACTTTTTGCCACCCCCTCCTGTGAGTTACTAGTGCTGGGTCACACTAGTAACCAGTGTGACTGAGAAGCTCACTTTTTTTTTTTTTTTTTTCTGGTACTGGGTTCTTCTTGGTTAAGGATAAGGAGGAGGTTGCCATTCTCTGGCAAA